TATTATGAAATTCATTATGGTTGCAAAGAAGCAATTTTCTGTAATGTGAGGAAAAATTATGAAGATGAAACAGGAATAGATTTTAATATAAACATGAAGAAAGCAGAATAAAGTTTTGTATGTACATTTCTTATGTAAAAGTAGAACTGAAACTGAAACTTTAATATTATGTAAGAAAACCAAAATCACAATGAGAGGGAGCATCAAACACATTTTAATGTTTTTCTGTTAATTATACATAAAAAGTCTAGGCAATAACTTGAAATTATTTGGGATGAAGCATAAATTTAAATGTAATTAAATGCATTTAATGCAGTATCTTTTGTCATAGAGTTCTGCTTAAAATGAGACCATACTATATATAGGAGTTTAAAAAGTTTTATTCATCCAGTTTATTAATAAAAAAGTTTTTTATATAAAATCTAACAATAATTCTGTATATAAATAGTCTGTACTTTATATAAACAGCATTTTTTGGCAAATGACCATCCTAATACTGTGTCTTTACGTATAGTATGTTTTACTGTATTAGGAATCTATCCAATAAGATATTAAACAACCAATAAAAATTTAGTAAAGCACAATTGTAAAATTTTGTACTCATACTATATTAATATAAAACCAAATTTCATCCTATTTGAAAATAAAATAAAAATTGAAATGATACCATCCATCTTTAGTTCAGTGTGGTTAACAGAATAGCAGATGCAAGCATGTATACACTTAAATGTTGAAGCTAATGTTCTTATTTCAAATTCATATACAGTAGAATTTTATTTTAACAAATCACAGAATAACAGATTTTTTCCCAGGTCCCATCAAATCAATGTAATTTTACATCCTTTTAGTGGATCCAGAATTTGGAATAACAGGATTTTTTTCTCGTCCCATCCATTGTAAACTTTGTTTCTTTTTGGTTTAGTTAATATTTGAGTGTTTCGGGGAATTTGTAGATTTTGATATTTGTTATAACTGTGATGTGTACAATTGAAGAATTATACTTATTCCATCAGACTGATACAATTGAGGAGGCATCTAGCAAATATTCCGATGCTGGTCCAAGTACAGTGCCAAAATTTAGTGAGGCCATTGAGTCATTTTAAGTCATGAATACCTTGATGAGTTTTGGCATAAATGAAGAGGCTGTGTATAACATCTCTAATATCAAGTGATTGTTGCATTCAATAAGCAGAAAAGTGGCATCAAAACAAACCAAGATGGATGAGATTTTTAACAAGTAAGGTGCTGATGAGCATACAAAATTTACCTTTTCTTATGCTCACAGTATATACAGTTTTTATCAGCTTTGTTGTGCACATGTATGGCATAATATATGATCTTGTAATATGTATTTCTATAGAATAAAGAATAGAGATATTAAGAGACTGAATGATTTCTGCTACAGGCATTTCTTATATGTAGGAGTTAAATAATGGATATTTTCCTGGGTGTGCAGGAAATTGTTGTTTGCAATATAAGACTCTTGGAACAATGGATGATTTTCAGCAGCCTAATTGATCTGTTAAACTAAGATTCTACTGTAATTATTTTGGAGGATTAATATATAGCCCTGTGATATTTTTAATAAAATTTTATTTTCTGTTAGTTTATCTAATAATTAGCTGAAGAAATTAATTACTCGTCAAATATGATTTTGATAATTCATTCCTATTTTATTGAAATTAGCATTTAATATTAACAATAGTAATAATAATAAACAATAACAATTGATTTAGAATAGGAAAAGTATACAGTAGAGCCTCGAAAACTTGGCCTAATGTGGATCGAATGGTGATCGAGTTTGTGAAAATGCCGGGTTATCGGGAATGGGGTTAAAAAAACTAAGTATGAGTGTTTCCTCAGAAAATACTGTACTGTATTTGTATGTATTGTTTACTTGAGAATACAACAGAGAATAAACTTCCCAAATACCCTTAAACAAAGGAAAAGTACGACCTTTATGAAGGCATAGAGCCTTTACTACATGAAAATGAAAATTAATGAATACACTGTGTACAGTAATTTACCTGATAAGACAGACCCCAGAAAAATACTTTATGAGGCATAAAGCTGTCTATAATGAAAATTAATTAACTAAGGATTTTTTTGCCCTGCTAGGGTGTGGCCGAGTTATCTGGAGTGCTGGGTTATCGAGTGCAGAGTTTTCGAGGCTCTACTGTATTTCATTATTTGAGTTTCTCTCTTATTTCCTGTTTGTAATGAGAGACAATGAGATTTACAATATTATATATTGTAAATTCTCACATAATTGCATGTAAACAATTATTTAACTACCCATTGCTCACTTAAACACTCTTGACTATTAAATGAAACTTTTTTCTTTTAATACAATATTACTTTGAAGGCTAGTTTTTACTATATGATTGTCTAGAAAAACAGATCCATATTTATGGCCTGGCAACAACTCATTTATGTATTGAAATTGTGGCATGAAATGACCTTCTTACTTTTCAACAGAGAAGGATGATTATGAATGTTAGTTGTCAACTAACAGCCAATAGAAAGTGTTTTCTGTTCAAGCTTATGATGGTGTAAAAAATCGAATTGTATATGATTGGTCTGGAAGAGAAAATTGCAATAAAATTTAAAAAATAATATATGGATAAAAATTTTAAAAGAATTAGAAATTGTTAGTAATTGTAATCTTTTCTGCTATTGGACAGAATATTTATGATGAAAATATCTGTTATGATCAGGTATCCATTTCACTGTTCTGTAATGGGCATGATTGAAATGGATGAAAATTCTACATAATCATCCATTGTTTACTTAATTGGATGATTAAATGAACCATTTTTCAATAAAAATTACATCCAAAACAGCAGTGCCTCATATAATCACCCATGATATCTCATTATTAGATGATACTAATTGAGGTACTGTACCTGACTGAGTATGTTTTTTTTTTTTTTTACTCTTTCTGCCCTCTGGGCACTAAGAGGACTTCTTTTAGTAGGCCCATTATGGGTTCAGCCAAGCCCACGGTGGGGTGACTGGGTGGTGAGGGATGGGATCGCCATATCTGATTGGACCACCCCCTGAAAAATTCCTGAGGATTTTTCAACTCATTCAGATTTGATCCTGGGTTCTTCAGAGTGACAGGCTGCCACCTTCACTGCTCGGCCATCCGGCCTTGGCTGAGTATGCTGTATTATATAAAGTTGAGATACTTGTATAAAAATACACACACATAAAAATGTGAAATGTGTATAAAGAAAAATATGTATTTATAATAAACTTATAAATTTGATTAAAAACAATTTTGCATTAAAAAAATTTCTAGGGGCTCATTGAGTCTGACATAGGTAAAAAGACAATGGTCATACATTTAATACTGTATATGTTCTACTCAAATTACAAGATGATCAATCAAGTTCCATTTGATCCAGCTTTCACTGATGATAACTTTTCCTGTTAATGGTTGCAACATTAGCCTATTGTTTTTGAATTTCATGGTTCACTTCATATGCACTGGCTTCAAGATGAAATTTCTTATTCTTGTGAAAAAGCAGGTGTGAACTATTTACATTCACAAGCAATATCATAAGTCCATCAAAACTTATAAAATTGAATGATTTTGGAAATGGAAAAAGCAGGGCTGTGGAGTCGGAGTCATGGAGTTTTGACGTTTCATCCGGAGTCGGAGTCATAAAAATAATCCACCGACTCTGACTCCTTTTTACTTACCAACTTGTTATATATATAAAATGGAAAAGTATTGGAATCGTGTTAAATTTGACCCTCCAACTTTTTTTTGCAAATCTACACTTTGGAGACCTCCCGAACCCCTCAAAAAGTCAATAAAGGGAAAAAATTCGCATGTACATGTATGTTGGCGTCTAATTTGTTTAATTTCTTTATTTTCTGTTCTAAGATATTAAACAATATCTCAGAACGGGTAAAGTTTAAGAAATGAAATATGGCACTGTAGCTTGCGTATAAAGGGGCATTAATATTACTAAATTTGGTTCGTAATTAAAGGTTGACAGGGTGAAGACATAAAAGTGGTCATGTGTCATATCTCTTAATGAATATTTTACTCGTTATTAGCGTTCAAAATTTAAAAAAATAAAATAAAACTCATCTTTACCTCTCAAAGTAAGCTTTTTTGCCATTTTATAATAGTACAGTAAAACCAATTAAGATGTTCTCACTTAAGATGTTAGAATGTATATGGGGGCATGATTTAGTTCAACCACTTTGACCTAAATAACTGACTGTGTTAAACCATCTGACTCCGATTCTGACCACTCTGACCGCAGAAATTATTAGGCTTCAAACAGGGTGAATGAAATCATGCCCCCACACACAGTATAACATCCACACATATAGAAAAAACCTCAAATCTTTTGCATATCTCAAAATTTCAAGGTGTCCTGAGTCCGAAAATGTAAAAATTTGGGAGGGGTCATTTTTTTACCGAGCGCTACACTTTTCCTCTGTTATATATAACAGCTGGAAAAGTAAAAATTATTGAATACATATTTATATATTACTTAGAGAAGTCTTTTAGCTTTGGAATAAAAAGTTTCTATGCTCTATCTTTATTACAACTCTATTTATTGAATATTTTATTCTGAGGTCACGTGATGACATCAGAATTTCTGGGTCTCTTTCGGTAACAAGTCTGCCCCTAGTCGGAGTCGGAGTCAGATGGTAAGGAAAAGTTGGAGTTGGAGTCGGTAGACTTTTACATGACTCCACAGCCCTGGGAAAAAGGGTCTATATCCTTTCCAGGACTATCTTGAATAATATATATACAAAGTTTCACATAAATTGGTTCAGCTGTCCTCTCATGATACTCGAAAAGACAGACAGACATGAATTCAGTTTTATATATTTAGATGAAAATACTTAGTATTTATCTTTATGATTATTTTAACTTGAGAAAGGAAAATATAACATATAATGTTTTTTTCTTGGGCTTTTTAATTTTGTTTATATTAGTACATAAAAATAAATGCTTAAAATTTGTTTAGGATGCTGCTGCCTTAAGGAAAGTAATAATCAATAAGAAAACAGAGATTGATCAAAGAAGATCTTTACCTGCAAAAATTAGTGAGAGGATAAGGTAAGGGTTATTTTTATCTTGCATTTATCTAAAACTATTATAAAGTGAATAATGTATTACATTTTCTAATAATTTTGATATTTCTCATTATGTCTGTTCTATCTACACCATGTAAAAACTGCTTATAATTATTCTTGTTTGTTTATAGAATTTTTTAAATGTTAAATAAAAATAATGATAGAAATATATTTATAGTTATTAATGATTTTAGATATGCTTGTTTTGTATTATTTCATGCACTGCTAATTTTTATAATGCTAATTATGGGAACAGTCCCATAATTACCATAAAACAAAATATGATTGGTGCCGTAAAACAAAATTTGCCTTGAGTTCTGAAGAACTTTCATGAAAATGATTTTAAAGCATATTTTAAAGATCAGAAAAAACATTAGCATAAGTGTATTGCAGTGGGAGGGGATTACTTTGAAAGAGACAAAATAAATTTTGATGAAAAAATTCAAATTTTGCATTTTATTGAACCATTTCTGATACTTTTTGATCACGTGTATTTCCATCATAACAAACTACTAATATTATTCCATATTTGCAATTAATCAATAACAAGTGTGGAGAGTTTCTATAGAGATTAATAAATTCATGAATTATCCAAACTAATTTAGAAGACAATTTATTCTGATGATACTGAGATTTCAGTTATGTACCACACCTGATAGTCTTCATATGTTAGTTTTATTCTTAAGAAATTTGAATATGGCAACACATCTTGCAAATTACATTTATGACATAGTTTGAATCATACATATTCATCTATCTATGCCAAAAAAGTCAAAATCAACATCAAGCCAGAAGTATATTTCCAATTTTATCTCTTGTACTGATTGAGAATTGAAAACTTATTCACCTTTTACATTTTCATCATCAGATAAAACTAGTGTCAAATATATTCAGTTGTGAGGATAACTATATCATGATACTCTGTTTTCGATATAATTACTCTTTTGATTTGGGTTGCTGAATTTTGATAGACAATGTTTTTATTAAAAATAACATAAACTGGTAATATTTTAAAATTATAGTTTTGTTTAATGCTTATTTCAAAATAAATGTTAAATTTTGAATATAATAATTTCATTCATGTTTNTTATTAAAAATATCTGTGCAAAAATAGGTAACAAATTTTTGCACAGATATTTTTATCACGTTGTGTCATGGCTGCATTGAGGATAACTATATCATGATACTCTGTTTTCGATATAGTTACTCTTTTGATCTAGATTGCTGAATTTTGATAGACAATGTTTTTATTAAAAATAACATAAACTGGTAATATTTTAAAATTATAGTTTTGTTTAATGCTTATTTCAAAATAAATGTTAAATTTTGAATATAATAATTTCATTCATGTTTCCATTTCTGTGATAACATTGTCTTTATAAAATTTGTTTTTTATTTTGGATTAGTGTTTATAAAATTTTAAATTCGGGTCCTTCAATAATACACTTTAAAATAGCTGAGGATGGGAAATGAATAAGTTGATGACCTCTGTTATATATCATATGGCTGTACTTAATTTTCACTCATTCTGCATGGACCAGACCTATATCAGTCAACATTGATAAAGAATGGGTAGTGAAATCCCAGCCATAATTATTTATGATAAATTATGAAAATCCAGATTTAAGTCTGGCATTCCATATTGGTATGTTGATAAATTATTGCATAGCCATTTGGTTAATGAATATAACATTATTGTATATTATTGAAAAAAATTATCTATGTCAAAGACAGAGGTTTTAACTTATGTCAATATGATTTTAATTAAAAAAATAAAGAATCAGAAGACAGACTGTAAAACTAAAGCAAAATCTTGTTGTATTGTTGTTTTAATATAGGGAAATACCTTTTCCACCTAATGGTATTGTAAGTGAACAAGAGTTATTGTATTTTAATTTTCATAGTTTGTGTATAAATAATAAACTCTTATCAGAAATTTTTTTGTTTATTTTAACATTTTGGTTTCTAAATTAATGTTTTTTTAATGTTTATATTAAATGTTTCTTTTTTTACTTTCATTTTATATTTAGAGCTAGAAGAATGGCAAGTGGCCAGAAATGGTCTGCAATTACAGCTGCATTGCAATATGAATCTGATTTTGATGATAGAGGAAGCAACACTCCCTCTTACAGTTCTACTGGAATTGAAAATATGGTTGAGGAAAGTAATGAAGCACAAGATGAAGGAAATGAATCAGGGCCAGATGATGCAGATACAAATCCTCAATGGCAGTTATATGAAACTGTAAAAAATTACCAGAAATCACCAAGTCATTTGTTATCTGAGCCCTTTCAACGGTTACCTTCAAGAAGGTGAATATTAATTTAATAATAATAATAATATGCTAATAAAATAATAATAATTATTAGTTTTAATAGTAATAAGTAGTAATAATTATTAAAATATTGACTCAAAGTTATATTTTACAGATCTTATCCAGACTACTATAAAGAAATTAAACAGCCTATATCTTTATTTAAGATTCGGACTAAAATTAAGGTGAGATTGACAAATTTTTATTTAACTAATGTTTATTTGAAAAAAAAAGCTATGAAAATAAAATGAAAGATTGAGAAAGATAATAATTGTTTCATATTATCATAAAATAATTATATCTGTTTAAAATTTTTACTATTATATTACTATATTTGATAAATAATTATTTATATTATTAAAAGAATATAAAAACTACTTGAAAAAATTTGGTATTCTCTTAGCACATTACCAGCCATGGCTGATGCATGATGTGATTTGATATTATTTGTTTTTTGGTGGCACATGTTATCAGATCATGCGGAAATCTGCTGTATCATTGTTTAAACCATTGTGAAATGCCAATTGCACAGTGCTATTAAAAAACATTAATATTAATGCTAATTGTTTTTATTTTTTATAATTTTATATTGATTGTAGCTATCTGTTTGTTCAGGTTTGGTTGAAGAGATCTTATGGAGCAAAATGCATGCAGAAATAAAGTTGCATTTTAAGTAAAGAAGTGTCATATTTATATCCTCAATGTGATAAGGCTCTGATATCTCTACTACACAGAGTATGAGATTCCTTTAGTGAAAACTTTTTTAGAGACCTCTTACCAAATGAAAATCATCTGCAATCTGAATAGTACAGACTTAAAGTAAAATCAACTTTGCCTGTTTTCTGCACAAATGAATGATAAAACATGAACCTACAATACAGTTGCAACTATATGCAAAGCAAACCATTGCCAGATCTTTGTGTTGTACATTGGCCATGATGAGCAATATAATAGGAGATTACCAAAGATATTAGATAAACTTGTAATGTTAAATGTTTGGATCAGATACTTTTTAAGATATGAAATTAATTCTGATTTCTATTTGTTAATATAATTTTGTTAGATTGTTGAATTAATTAATGTCTGTAAGCAGAGAAAATTTAATATTTTATTATATATTTTAGGCTCAAAGACTGAAAACACTCATTGAGTGAAAAAATCAACCACCACACATTCTGTGGCACTTTCAAAAATGCATGTGTGTTTTAACATATTCAATAAGACCACAAAGCAAAATTTGTGTCAAGATTCATTTAATAGTCAACCAAAACATGATCTGGCAATATGAAAATGTCACAACATGTTGTGGTTGCTTATTAATACACCCATGATACAATGTGATAAAAATATGTGTGTAAAAATAAGTAACAGATTTCTTTATTATATCTAAATTGAGAATTATACTAAAAATGAACAGTTAGTCTCATTAATCTTATGTCTAAGCCTTAAATTTCTAAGATAGAAACTTCTATTTATCATTATTTTTTACTAACTTTAATATAAAAATTTGTTTGGATTGATCTCTTTGTGGGAGTGTTATTATTGAAAACAAATTTGCAATCAATTGATAAAGTGACTTACAAATAAATTTCTTTATTTGAATTAAATTTATTTGACTTAAATTTATAATACTTTTTGTAGATATCTAGGATTTAAAGTATCATATATAAGTAACAAGGATTTATAGACAAAACAATTGACAACAAATTGTCTTCTTGACTGTGAACTATAAAAGAAAATGAAGAGTTACATTTATTTACTATTGTTCTTTTAGTCATATAATGTTTTGTGACAGGAACTTTCATTAATGAGTATTTTTCTAATAATAAACATTGTTCAGAATTAGTACTTTTGTGGAAATTACAGTCAAATTTCAGTTTGAATGCCTCACTTTTTGAATAATTAAGTTTACAAACAGAATTTTGAACTCATAATTGCACTGGTTGCTGAACAAGCTACTTGGAAAGAGCCAGCCACAGATTAGAGACACATAGATGATCAACATAGAAAGTATAGGTAGTTAAAGAAAGTTGATGGCTTGACCAATTAACAACAGGACTATTGATTCAGAAGTTAATTGTGCCGAGATCATCTTGCATCATTAGATGTCACATCACAAATCATTAATGACATTTCTATTTAAATTAGATTTCAATCTGCGTGCAGAAAGATACTATTTCAGTTTTTGGTACATGCTGCAGTTGAATCAAAATCAAATTAATAAAAACTGCATTAATTGACATTCACATAATATAAATGGCATCCAAGAATTCATGTTTAAAGGTGCTTTAATCAAATTAAATAACAAAAATTTGTTAATGTATTATAATATTGCATTTATAGGCATTTTATGCATAAAATACAACTAAAAAGGTAAAAAAAGGCTATGTTTTGGGAATCCATTTTATATTTTTTCTTATGAGAAAATTGTTTCAGTTTTAGAACACATTGGTGTTTGAACAACTTTTAGGAACAAATTATATTCAAAAACCAAGGTTTGATTGTATACATAAGTTATTTATTAAAAATATCTGTGCATGAATAAGTAACAAATTTTTGCACAGATATTTTTATCACATTGTGTCATGGCTGCATTAATAAGCATCACAATGTGTTGTGACACTTTCACATTGGCAGGTTATGTTTTGATTGATTTATTAAAAGAATCTCTATATGAATTTTGCTTAGTGGTCTTATTGAATATGTCAAAATGCATTATGCACATTTTTGAAAATGCACAAAATGTTCAACAGTAACATGGAATTCATGTTGTTGCTGAATCTGAGAAGCCAGAATGTGATGTAGTCGGGTTTTTGCTCAATGAGCTTTTTACAGTCTGTGACTCTAACATATATAATGAATAATGATTTTTAAGAATTAATATTCTTTAATATCTTTACATTGCAAAATTCTTGACTTTATATTGTAAAAATAGAAATTTGCATTGCTTTTTCAGTTAGTCAAATGTTTTATTATGAGTAAAAATGTTTTCAGCCTTTTACTTCAGTTGTAGGAATGGAATATTGCATAGTATAGAATTAAATAACAGTTTAAATTATCACATAATATAAATATTAAAATACTACTAAAAATTAATATAAATAGTTACAAAAAAGGAATAAAATATTAACAAATATGCAATTTAAGTTTTTTATTTGATCAACAATTCCTTATACATCATTAATGCACTGTCTAAAACTGAGAAGAATAAAGATGATATTTCAAAAGTTTTTGAAATTTCCTTCAGTTAGAATACAAACAGCCATGGCTCTAGTAGGAATTTGATTTGTCATATGATAGGCTGAAATATTATATCATTTAAAAGTGTAACAGATTATTTAGACATAATTTTATCCAACTTTTATTTTATAATAGATCAAAGTTTTTCTAGGCAAGAGATGAGTATTCTAATAGCTATCCAAATTTGGGAGATTTAATCAAAGTAGTAGTTAAATGGAATAGAGTTGTTGCTAAATATAGAGCTAATATAAAATTACCCAGATATGTTAATAACTTACTTATTATATGGAAGGATGAGCAATGTATAAATGCCTATTTGAAAGATATTAACCTGTTCCCCAATATTCCTGAAATGTTTCGGGCTGAAACATGATGACCTTGACAAGTTGATCCAAGATATCTCATTTCAGCATCGGAATGTTTTTGAAACTAGATGTTGCTAGTTGTTATAATTTTTATATTAAAAGTAACTTCTGAAATATAATGTTTTTTTGGTTTTATATTTATTAATATGTCTATTTTGTTTGTGCAAAATAAAAAAGTAATTTCGGACAGTAAAATAGCCACTATTATTTTTTTCAAAAATGTGTAATTTTCGTTAGGCTTAACATCGACAAAAATTCAACATGGTGTGACACACAACAGAAAATATTTCAACATGGGATAGGTTAACAATATGGTGTCAAGATCTGGTATTAATCAATTGATGTATCAAGCTTGATGTTGACCAAATTAGCAACTCTATTGTTATTATCTATTGTTATTATCAGAGAAACAAAACTGGGACGTATATCTGCTAAATTGAAAGTAGTAAGATTGAAAACAACTTATGTAGAACAGGTTACACTAGTAGTAACTTGGAGAAATACATTTAAACATAAATAAAGTAGTTTAATACATAATAGGCTTAATTTTACATTAGCATACTTTGCCAAACAGGAAGATGCCAAAATTTTGGAGAATGAAACTAAAGTTGTAAAAAAGTTCACCTCTTTTTTACAATACTTACAGTACATTATAGTAGAACAGGTAGAGATATTTAAGCAAAATTCTATGGGAGTGTGTTTATATGCCAGGGATGTGGACAAACTTTTCTCTACATAGAAATTTACCTAAATTCATAATTTGTGAACATGGTATCTGTTTAATAAATTTTATATTTAATGCATTTTGTTATATTTAACTTTTATGTAAACCAGGGGTGTCCAACCTTTTTGTTTCTCTGGGCCGCATTGGAAGAAGTCAAGGAGTTTTGGGCCACAAGTATATATAATATATACTTGTGGCCCAATATACAAGTATATTTAAGGATTAACATGTCTAGATTATAATAATAAGTATTAAAACTTTATCACGAAAAAGGATATTTTAAAAAATTACTTCTACAGACACTTTCAATTTTTACTTAGAAATAGATAAATTCATTTATTATAAAAGAGACTAAAGAAAATTTATTTGAAAAACACAAATATTTGTTTTATTTGGGTCTCTAATTAATAAAAAGCGACGAAACGACATTTTAAAGTGCATTTTTATTCAATTAATATAGTTACAAATAATATGTAGCCGAAAAAGTAGCCAAAGCGCCAAATTATATTTTTTACGTCAAGCAAAAAAAAAGTAGCCAAATTTGGTGCAATGTAGCCTAATCTTGCAACGTTGGAAGAAATGCTAAATAAAGCTGGAGTTGTGAATCAAAGGATTAAAGACCCAAGTGCGGGAAAAAGAGGCTAAAGACAAAAGATAAAGAAGTGAAAAAGGTTGAAAAATTACGGGTCCATATTTGATTAACAGAAGATCTATTTAACGTTTCTCACTACTACATCTTTTGTCCTTTCACATCTTTCCCTCCTTTTCCCAAATTTGGGTCTATAATCCTTTGAGTCACAACTCCAGGTAAATTTAGTAATCCTTTTGCATTCACACATCTCCAAGTATTTGAAAATATTTTCTTTCCACTCAAAAATAAAATATGAATAAAGGTTTACGGCTTTGTGAAACATCTTTTTTTTTAGTTTATGCCGTTAAAATAAATAAATAATAAAAAATTAAAACATTTGTCAGTTTTGTTTACATGTTTATTGGGCCGCATTGGAACTTGCCTTGGGCCGCATGCGGCCCGCGGGCCGCGGGTTGGACACCCCTGATGTAAACTGTTTACATAAAAGAAAAAAAATCATTTGCTGAGAAAATTAGGTCAACTTTAGTTAAAATACTATACTATAGAAGAAAGTGACAACAATAACCATCTTTTAAACCATAAAAGGAATATATTTTAGATTGCATCATGTCATCTTTGTAACTATGAATGAATTTATATGAGCAAGATGTAGCAAAAACTATACAATATAAATGAATGAATCATATAACAAAAAGAAGTTAAATAGAAGTTAAATGTACTCATAATAAATAGGACAGCATTAAATTAATATATGTAAATAAACAATTGACAAATTAGTATAATAAATTAGTTATTGATAATTTGTAGTTTAGAATTTGGCTAATTTTTAACATAATGACAGATTCTAAAGAGCTTAAATTTTTGTTTTGGACTTTATTAAAATAAGTAACAAGAATTCTTAAAAATTTTTTGTAATAGAATAATAATAGATGTTTTTTTTTATAAATGATTTATTATATTTAATTAATCTTGCATATAATTAAATTTATGTAAAGTGTTTAGTTGTTACAAGTTTTCTAAATTTTAGAATAATATAACAAAATTTAGACATTTTTTTTAATTGAACATTTTATCAAAATGAAGAAAATAATTGGTTTTTGTAAAAATAATGGAAAATTTATGATTCTAGTTTTTTTTTCATTTCTTATGTAACAGTAGATTTTCATATGTAGTAGACTCAAAAATAAACCAAATTGTTAAAATTCTTTAGTAATGACTATAATTGTGAGTGCATGGATGTTCAAACATTTTCTTAAAGATATAACCCTTGTACAACATGTCTGTATTCAGATGGATTAGAACACAAAATGCTAAAGTATTAGAGCAAATAGGTATGCACTTTTGGAATTCTGAAATGAATATCATAAACAACAAATTAACATTAAATTCTGCATCAAAGTCGGTAAAAACTTTACCAAGACATTTAACTTGCTTAAGAAAGAATAAGATAAAACACTATGTTGCATACACAAGTGTATAAATAATGTATTTTAAAGGTTATGAACTTTGAGGTTTGGACTTTATTAAAATAAGTAACAAGAATTTTTAAAAATTTGTTGTTATCTAAAATTTGTTATAAAATTTTAACAAATTGACCTTTAAAATACTCTGTTGTACTGCTTGTGTATCTGGATGCTGATCATTTTCTGTTGATTCACAACAGAGAATGATTCCTGTTCATGCTGATGAGCATCAGAAAAAAATGAATAAATGACTTTTTGAGTTTTTGAAGAGATCATAGATAATCACTAGGCAATATGGTTGACATTTGGAATTTCACGTGTCTTTGTAATTCTTCAGAATGAGTTGAAAATGTATCATATTTGTTTTGCTGTTCTGATGAAGCTGCAATGATTGCATTCAAGGAGCTAATGTAGAATGGGCTGTGAAACTGTTTTAATTAGTGGTAAGAATGTTGGCATATAGCTACATTCTTACCACTATATAGCTATAGAAGATGTTTTTATTAAAAATAGTCTTCTGTAAATATTTTTAATATAATTTATATTATGTCAATAATGTTTATAATTCAGTTTATATTAACATAATATAAACTGAACTTATATTATGTTAATAACATAAGTTCAGTTTATTTTTGACTCTACTACATACATATATTAAATGCTGAAATAATAATTAAAATGCATTAAAATTTTTATTAGTTCTTTTGTAAATATTTCATTTATATATTATTCTTTTATAGACGGGACAATACAATAGTACTATGGATGTAGTAGATGACATGAACTTAATGTTTGAAAATGCTAGGAAATATAACAGACCTGAATCTAAGATCTATAAGGTAACTTTTTAAGTATAAGATGAAATTTGAATTTAATTTAGTTTTATCATTTGTAATTTATAGTCTAATAAGAAATTAAATTTTATATTTAATGAATTTATTACTACTCAGTATATTTAATAGAATTCAAGCTAGAATAAAATTTAAGTACTTGAAAAAATACATCTTTGAGTACAATTCTGTTCTCGTTTTTCTTTCAGGCAAACATTTTCAGCTCTTTTGATAAAAACTACTTTGAATCTGTCAAAGATTCTAAATGTCAATGTTCTATTTTGGAATTTCTGCTCATGCAATGACTTGTCTTCTAAGATTTAAAAAATTTTTTAAATATTGAAAACGATGTAACAGTGTTTTCTTTGACTATGTATTTTCTATTGTTCTGGGATATGTGATAGTTTATGTATTGACTTGTTATTTGTAAAATTATATCTATTGAGACCATAGTAGAAAATTCTTATTTGGGTTCTCATAAAACAATTTCCAGACAGCAGAGAAAGTTTTAGTCTTTTTGGTTTATGCAAACTCCTTCTAAGGAGGCTTTATAAATAAATATATAAAGCTTTGTTTTATGAGAAGAAAATAAGAATTCTCTATTGCGGTCCCACAAGATATAATTTTACAAATATGAAGTCACAACACAAATCATCACATATCCCAGAACATTAGAAAGTACAGTACATGGCCACAGAAAATGCTGTTACCTCATTTTCAGTATGTTAAAAATTTCAGAAGATACATCATTGCATGAGCAGACATTCCAATATAGAACATTGACATTTAGAATCTTTGACAGATTCAAAGTAGTTTTTATCAAAGGAGCTTAAAATGCTTGTATGAAAGAAAAATGAGAATGGTATCGTATTCAAAGATGAGTTTTTTAAGTATTTAATCACTATATGTTTTAACATTGAAACAATTTGAGTTTGAAATATGTTTATTTGCTTGTGCCAGTAAATATAGGTGGTGTATGAGTCGACCAAATTGGCTGCCACAAAGGGTATAGCATGCGTGGCAACATATGAGAGTTACATGTGTGTGTTGTCTTTTTAATATCTTTCTCTCTGTAGTCAAAACGTTTTATCCATATTTGTGTCCGACATTAATCCTAGTTGATTTCGTAGTTGTTTAAGTCATGATGATTACACTTTGTGACATTTTAGAATATGTGGGTGATCGAAAAAGATGTCTTATAAGGAGAGGAAATGCTAAAACATAACTTCATATCTATCCATCTCTTAGCAACTAATTCACTTCAGTTTCACCAACACAAAATTCTTTTATTTTTACAAACGTTTTCAATTTTGTTCAGCTTCGTTTTCTATGTTTTATTTGTTTATTTAATATACACACTTCTTTAAATTTATTTTAAAGTTAGTATTAAAAAATGGAACGTTCCATTTTGGAACATTTATAATATCAAACCTGACGAGGGCCTATATTAAATAGGTTGAAAACGTTTGTAAAAAATAAAAGAATTTTAAACTCAGAAAAATTAGGTCTTGGTGAAACTGAAGTGATAACTTCAGTTTTATTTCCCACTTTTTTCGTAGTAATTTAAATTTTTGGGAATGTGCGCATATGTACTGAGTTTGATGAACCTTTAGACTTACATCCAAATTCACAGCAATACTTATTATTTACCATTGTAGGTTGAACACTTTCTAATTCTAACAGACCACAGACTTTATACCCATAGCAGCTGCCATTACGTAGTTTGCACTAATACCGCTAGATGTCAGATCTATCGTTGGCACAAGCAAATTGTAATAGAAAAGATATTAACTAATTTTGTTTTTTCTTAGTCTGAGATAGGTTTGGATTAAACAGAAGTCATGTATCAAAATAATATAAACTTTGTATATATATGGCACTTGATCTATATCATTTTGTTTGAAATATTCAAATTATTTTGAATGACAGTAAACAGTAATTTAAAAAAAAACTGCTAAAAATAGAATTAAAAAAAAATTGTTTTATTCACTTTATCCATTGATTTGCTAGCTCAAAATTTCAGAGAATTGTAGTTGATATGCAGTTTTTGCAGAATTTCATGTTAAATTTTTCATCATTTATGGTTCTATTTACCATCTACTTTTAGTAAATATTTATTATATTAATAAATATTTTGTTGTTTTATTTTTATGAATTAAACACTAATGCTAACAATTGTAAAGAAGTCAGTTTATTAAAAATGGTTAAACATTATTTGAAATTCAAAAACATCTCATATTAAGATTCATTCCTGCTTTTTGTAATGCATTTCAAGAAATGTTTAATCACTTTTAATAAACTGACTTCTTTACAACTGTTAGCATTAGTATGTATTCTTAAATTATGGAATAATTGTAGACAAAGAAGTTTTAAAAGATTAAAAAAAAATAGTATTTTAATAATTTATTGATTTAAAAGTTTACTTAATAAATAATATCTTCAATGTTTTATTAAAGTTTTAGTTAATAATTTAAATATAATTTTTCTGAATTTGATCATTTATACTTCAGTTATAAATATTTATTTGATGATTAACATTTGAGTACAAAAGTAGATAGATATTAGAAATTGTATTGAGTTATATTTTTCAAGTGTCTAAATTTGCATATTTTATTTTTAAACTAAGAAGACAAACAGTTTATTACAATTCATAGTTTGGACCAATTTATCAGGTTTATTTTTAAAACACAACTACTATTGCTATTAGAAGAAATGTTTCAAACACATATGCATATATGGAATTTTAATAAATTTTTAATAAAGATTAGAATTATATACTGATTTCGAGAATATTAATTCTAGAAAAATGTTACAACTATTGTTTAATAATTATGGTAATAAAGTACACTGAATTGATAAACGTCATGGAATAGTAACCTAATATTGAGTAGGCTCTCCTCTTGAATGCAGTTCACCACAAAATTAGGCATGTATACCATGCCTAATTTTGTACTTGGTAGCAGTCAGAAATAATAGTTGACCATGAAGGTAGAAATACATGTCACAACTGTATAAAATTGATGGATGGAGATGCAAGGCATATATCATTGTTTCTACCATATGTTCAGTGATGATGTAGGAGGTAAACCATAATGCATAAATCAGATGTGTGTTCCTGGATCTTTCCCTAATAACTGCAGACCTGGTTTTTCAGCAAGACAATGCTTGCTGAAAAACCCCATTGATGTTAGGTTACACAATTGTCATGAAAGCTTATAAAACAAGATAAAAAAAATTGTGATGTTATTTCTTGTTTAGTGAAAATGAAGTCTCTGTAAATTAACTTTTCTATGTCAATGAATAAAATGTTTACTTCTTTATATTAATTTTCAAATAGAATTATATTTGTTATATTTGAAATGTAATAAACATGAGTGCCTGAGGACATTGTCTATAACATTAACAATTAAAAAAACACTGTAACTATGCTACCCAACTTCATATCAGACTTGTCTTTTTTGTTCATCTGCAGTAATGTCTGAAGCTTATTCACTTGTGTTGATACAGTATATAAGTAGGAGCAAAAATATCTGAAAATAAATATGAAGAGATAAAAATTTTATATAATGTCATACAATAGTTAAATCTACAGAGACTTTGTTTCATTAAACAGGAAATGGTGGCACGTTTTTTAATCTTATAAGCTTTGAGAAACAACAATAGTAATAATAATTCTAATGATATTGTAAAATAATAAAATAATTTTGTTACACATAAAAAACAAAACTAAAAGTGCAAAGATGCAAACCTACATTGAGCAGTTCCTATGCCTAGCATTTTATCCACTAGATTGTCTCAATTACAAGAAGTGTAACTTCTAAAAAACTTATAAGCTGCATACACAATTTTCAGAGGCCTATTTTATGGAAATACTTGAGAAGTGGGACCTATTATTTGGACAAGGATCTCTTTGTATTTAGAGCTATGTGCTTATCAAGTTTCATTCGAATTGGAGAGGTGAATGTCTAGCCATCTTCTTGTTAGTGGAATATCAACCTCTCACAGCAACATCTGTTGGGGAGCTGGTAACAATCCCAGCTCATGATAACTTGTGTATTTCTTGATTACTGGCTACTTATAACTTTTGTCACTTTAGTGTAAATAATATCTTTTAAGTACTTCTTCATCCTATTATTATTGTTTTATATTATGATTGAAATGTTAAAGTTTAGTTAATATAATTTTTTTTTTTTCATTTTCAGTCCTTATTTTATGATTTTGAATTTCAAAAATTCAAATATACTTTTAGTATTAATTCAATAAATTATTTTTGATTTAATTAATTTATAGTACATCAATATAAAATAATCATATTTATTCTTATTATTATACTTAAAACATTTTATAAATTATGTAAACAATGTAATTGAATCTTAATTTGTAAACAACAATTCTAATGACAAATGGTAATGAACAAATTTTGTTGCATTATTTAAACTGAAGAAATATTAAATTAGCTTTTGATGTGTTAAGAGTGTCAATGTCAAACTTTATTTGATAAAATAAACTGATTTATTGTATATATATATATATNTACTGCTTTAGTTTTAATTTGAGTAAATTTCTTACTAGAAAAGAGATAGTGATTTCTCAATTTACATGACTTATTGTATAATGAAGAAATAATAATGATAAAAATGTTAGAAATCAAATATCTGAATATTAAAAATATAAATATGTAGTACAGAAAAACTCAGAAGTGAAGCAGGAAACATTTTTTAACCAATTTATTATTAAAATGTTTCATTGTATTAGTGAATATACTTTCAGTGCTGTATTTTTTTTAAAACAACTCTTACTTGTGATAAAAATAATACTTTGACCTAATTATTCTTGTTCCTGATATTGGTGCTTCCTGTTTCATGTTATAGATTTAGCAGTATTTTTTTTTTACATTATGTGTCTACTGCAAAAGCAAATTAATAAATCAACTACTACTGATAATATTATTATCTACTCTTTTTTTCATTTCTAATGTTGATAATTGATACTTTGCATCTCTTTTCATTATGTAAAACTTGAATCATGTAAATGATCTTTATAAATAAAATATTTGATGCTTAAATTTCTTAAGTTGTTCCAAATAAGTTTATTTATCAGTTAAAGATTGGCATTTATACTCTTAGAAATCAATAAACAATCTTTCTGACTTGTTCAAACATCACTTTATACAGTTAAAGGTTTTACTAGTTATAATTAAATAATTATAATTTAAATATTTACTAAAAAAATACTAATTGGTCCAAACAATGATTTAATAATAACAAAATGAGCAAATGCTCTAAGATATAATACAGTTACATTTGTTCTTATTTATTGTAACAGAAAAATCTCTGCTTATAATTAATATTATCAAATTCAGAAATTTTATTATATATATTTATAAAAGTAAATTATTTAAATATAACATTGAATATATATTATTGTTAGTAGCGATATAATTCGCTTCTATGATAAATGGCATTTTTCTTTCGTTTTTTTGTGATGAGTATTTGTTTGCTTGCATGAGTAATGTGTGTTCTGGTTTCCTTGCATGCACAAGTAAACAGTTTGACCTTTTCTTTTGTCCTCCAGGATGCTGTGAAGCTCCAAAAAATTATGCAGTCCAAAGCCAGGGAGCTGATTAACTTGCACATGAAGGTATTTTTCTCCTCTGCTTGCTCTATCTTGCTTCTTCTGTAAAAGCTGCTATTGCCTGAGTTATAAACTTAATCTTGTAGGAATGAAAATCACAAATTTCTCTAACATTTTGATTGCTGTATAGTCTCTTATCAAAGATATTTATAATATCAATAGACTATATATTTACAGCAAATTTTTTCTTTTTTTTTTAATGTATTTATATATATATTAAATAAATAAAATTATTTTAAATTCTACATAGTGTGTAATAAATCCTAATATATATATAATGTTTCTGTTAATGAAATTAGGATTCAGATAGTGATGATGATGATGAACGTACACCAAAACGTAAAGGAAAAAAAGGTCTATTTGGTAGTCTCTGGGGTGATACGAAAAGAAGAAGAACTTTTGACTTTGAATTTTCAATGAAGAAACGAATGAAATATCTATATAAGAGTCTTATTGATTATACTGTAAGTTAATTATTTTTATATAGTATAATATAAAGCACATAAATTTAAATTATGAAATTATTTTACTCTTTTTTCTTAATATTTAAAAAATTCATTGTAATTGTAACATTGACTTTGAAATAGTGATATTTTTCTTCAATTCTACAATTATAACAATTTAAATTTGGAATTACAATAAACTTTTGCTAATTTGTACTAATAGAGACTAAATAATGAATGTTGTCTGAGTTAGAGGTGTGTTTTCTTCAATGACATGGAAAATGAGAAGGTGGCTATATAGTATTGTAATTTATTATAATTGTCTATAAAGAAAAGTTTTACTGAGCTGAGTTATACTGCTGAATTTATTATTTCCAGGAAATGAGCTCATTGAATTTTGTGACAGTATACCATACATCAATGTATTGTCTTTAGTAACTTATTGAATACAGTAATATAAAGGTATTTGCAAAGACTTTTGGATATTAAAAACACTCATTAATTATAATTTTTGCTGTTATCAAGAAATTTTAAATTACTGTACAATTTTTTGAAAAAATTTTTTTGAATTATGCAGTCTGATTTGTCAGGCTCCAAGTAAGAATTTACAGTATATTATAAAGTTTTGAGCTTAGAGTAGATAGTTTAGTAAGAGAGATAAATTCTTGCATTAGTAATAAAATTTTGAAAAATTAATAAACCAAATTGTTTTATTTTATTTAAGACTAGGCATTTCAAATTATTTGGAGTTAAAAATGCTTTTATCATTCTGATTTCATTAAATAAAGAAGAAAATTTTTTATAAAGTTCAAAATTGAATCTTTCTTATTCTAGGATGCCAGTACCAGTAAGATTCAATTTTGAAAAAATCTACCTGAAGTAGGTCTTAGTTATAGACTGAAAATGTAACAGTCTTATCACTTACAGTGGTACCTCAGGATATGAATGCCCCAGCATACGAAATTTTCAGGATACAACATGAAATTCGAACATACAGTCGACCCCCCTATAAGATATAGATACGTTCCAATTTATTAGGAATCCGATTTCTTACAAGTCGTTCCAATCACAGCCCGACACGTGTCAAGTTTACGGACTACGGCTGATTGAAAGGTTTTCTTCCATAAAATTAATCGATTCTACACTAATCCGACTCAACATTTCCAAAATACG